CTCTCTCTCCTCTCCTCTCTCTCTGCGTTTTTCTCCTTCCCCTTCCTCTTAGCTGTGCATTCTGGCTCTGTTGAATAATTCAGTTGAGTTGCTGGCTAGTTCGGACGTGTGTGTCTGTGTTTGTGTTCAGTGTGTGTCTTTGAGAATGCATATGACTGTGTGTGTGTGTGTGTGTGTGTGTGTGTGTGTGTGTGTGTGTGTGTGAAGGGTGCAGTGACGTGGGGCTATTTTTGGGATTCTGATACGTGGAGAGAGAGAAAAATAGAGTCTGTGATGGATTGATTTTTTTGGGGATTTTTTTATTTTTTATGCCTGTGTTCTTTAGTCACGTGCTGCGGCTTTTACGAGACAAACTCTGCTGGAAACCTGCACTCTACCTGCAGGGCGTGCTGGCACACACACATGCACACACGCACACACGCACACACTCTTTGGCTGCTAAGTGCATACTGTTGAATCAGCAGGTACTGTCAGGCCTACAGACACACATTCATACTAACACACCTGCACCGCCACCTGAACATACAGCTCATGTAAAAAAAAAGTCATATGCTACACTGATATTCTACACACAGCCCACAGTGCACACACACACACACACACGCACACGCACGAGCACGCACGCACATAAACCACCGTCAGCATCTTGTACAAAGTGACAACTCGGCTATATGTGGGAGAGGCGGTGGCAGGGGTGAGATAGAGACACAGCATATGGTGTGTGGATAAACAGGCAGCAGTAGTGGGCGACTGTAAAGACTCTACACACTGATTGATGCTAAATCCGACTGAGAGAGGCCAAGCAGGGCTAAACTGGCCTTCGAGCACTCCTATCTGTTTGGCAACGTGGTGCCTAAGTGGGATGTGTAGAATCATTCTTTATTTTTTACCACTGACGCATGGGTTTGGTTTGGGTTTCATGTCAGACAGTGTTTGATACCTGTTATTTTTATGCTTTTGGTCACAGTATTGAATGCAACAGTACAAATCCTGTTTTGTTTTTGGATCAATATTGTCCCGTGTGACAACGCCTCTCTGTGGAGGCCATTTTATTGCGGTGGATGTCCTCCACTGCCGAGTGGGTTTGCTGTAGGGAGACACAAGCAAAGCGGATCACTGCATATCCTCATTCTGGAACGAATATATGTGAACTCGTACAGTCAGAATGTAGACTCCATATTAAGTATTGTGGACTTTAAGATTCCTGGCTAAAGCTTGAAAAACAATTAAATATATCCATTCATTTTACAAATGAATTGCTGGGTGTGAAAATGCACGGCAATATTTGAAATATGTAGAGGAACTTTTCTGTGAGTCTATTAAAAATGTATGATGCAGGAATAAAATGAGGCGCCGCGACCATGTCTCTTATCTTTTATGGTTTGCTGATTATCAAAATAATTTGGCTAGATAGGTCTCAAGCACAGTGCTTAATCCTATTCATTCTTTATCAAATCAGTGCTTCTGAGGGAAAAATGACAAGGAAATGAAGCAATCATTTGAGCTGTCCTGCTAGTGCTTCACTGCATAATGCAACAGGACAGAGAGGGAGAGAGGGTGAGGAGGGGAGAGGGGATGAGGAAGGGAGAGAGGGTGAGGAAGGGAGAGAGGATGAGGAAGGGAGAGAGGATGAGCAAGGGAGGGGAAAGTATCGAGGGCCATATAGAAACTGACAGTTTGCTAAATTTTGACTTCTTTTTTTCTTCTTCTTCAAAACATTCTCATGCCACACGACCAAATTAAAATCATAAATTGGTTGTTGACTATATTTTTTAAGTACGTCCTTCATACCACAAACAAACACAAAAAGAGACAGATGTATAGAGAGAAAGATAGAATACTAGTAGGCAAGGTGATTATTTTGTCCTTGTGGCTCCATTAGTTTTCATATTTGCAAAGCCAGACTCTTGTCTCTGAAGTAAACTGTATAAAGGATTAGGATAGTGAAATTAGCCTTTTCTTTTCTTGACAAACATTTCAAGTGAATGTATTACAGTTAACAAATAGCAATCGTGGTTTATCAGAATAAAACTAGTGCATGGTGCGCTATTACGCTTGGTTCTATTAATCGGGGAGGCTGGCACCTTCCTAAAGGGTAGCAGCTGGTCTGGACTCTACTGGCAGACCAGTGGAGTGAAGGGAAGTCTAGTGTTGGTCTGTGTGCGTACAGCACATGTATGAAAATGTGTGCTTGAACGACAATATGACACACGCATGGATGGGGTGGAGAGCGGCGGGGCTGTGGAGGCTGTGTGAGGGGTGGGCATTTTGACAAGAGTGTTCTGTGACAGTTGTGCTTGTGTGTGTGTGTGTGTGTGTGTGTCGGCATATAGTGTGTAAGCGTTTGTGTGTTTTCATACGTGCATACTTTCCGCGTTGCAGATTTAAGGATTTCCAATTGTGAGATGTATGAAACAAAAAGGAGCATATATGCTTATGTGGTGGTGCAGAAATGTGTGTTTCAAGATATGGAAGCATGCTGCAGTGATCTTATACAGTGCTGCGTGTCACATACATACTCCATGTGAAAGTATGATGTATAGTATTCCACCCACTCTCCCTCTCTCGCTCTCTCTATACACATATATTTACATATGTGTGTGTGTGTGTGTTGCCGCTAACCTACTTTCGACAGCATACACGCTCAAAAGAAGAAAATGCCGCAATACTCTCACCCCTCTGTCATTCTCTCGCTTTATCCCTCATTCAGCACTATGCTCTTCGTCTCTGTCCTTCTCTCCTCCTCACTGTTGTTTTCCTCCCTCTGCTCGGTCCTCCGCCCTTCTCTTGCTTTCATTCCTCACCACTCACTCTCTTCAGTCATGTCTGTGCCCACAGGACAGTTTCTCTCTCTCTATTTCTCTCTTTCCTACTCTCCTATCTCTTTCATCTGGCCCTCGATATATTTCCCTCCTATCCAACCTTTTTTGTTATTTTCTTCATGCCCTCTCACACTCCATCTCTTGCCGTCGGTGTCCTCGTGCGTTTGCTGACGCGCCATCTCACTCGATACTGAACGGAGATGGCGTGATAGAGGTAGGGAGGATTGATGGGAGGACTCGGTGAGAGAACGATGGACTCGGGAGAGATGCAAGAAAGTGGGAGAGACAGAGAAGCAATGGGGAGAAGAACAGAGAGGAAGAGATATAGGGATGTGAGAGGAGATGGGGATGTAAAAGCAGAGAGGTACTGTATGGGAGAAAGAGAGAGGAGGCTTAACAGGCAGGTAGAGAGAGAAGTATATCAGTGAGAAACAGGCAGGAGCTTTGCCGAGGAGAGAAGTTAGGAGAGAGAGCGAACATGAAGACTGTACGGAGCGGTGATGGACAAGGTGAAGGAAAGGCCAGCAGACGTGTGTGTGCTTCATTTGGCTCCAGTTTTGTACTTTGAGAGCCTCACTTCCCTTTTCTTGGCCAGACAGAAAATAAAATAAATGCATACGCAGAACCACACGTAGAGCAAGAAACGCACGGGAGGAAAAAGAGAGAGAGAGAGAGAGACTGAGGACAAAGAAAATATTGGAAAGATGAAGGGTGGGAGATCAACACAACTCTCTCTCTCTCTCTCTCTCTCTCTCTCTTCCTCTCTCTCTCTCTGTCTCTCTCTCTCTCTGTCTGTCTGTCAAGGTGTTTTGATCCAGATGTTCTGTGCTCTACCACAACACATTATTAAAATACACGTTCTTACAGATGCCATAAGGAATATACAGTACATGCGCACAATGTTTATGAAGACAAAGATTCACAAGGATATATGCTGTTATGTAAAATGTAACTTTTTCACTATCTCCACATAGCCACACTGAAGATGACACATATTTATGAAAATGCTTCTTTTGAACACAATCCCTTCTAGGTGTCTCACTTTGTCTCCCTCTCTCTCGCTCTCTCTGTCTCTCTCTGTCTCTCTCTGTCTCTCTCTCACTATTTCCCAGTTCTTCCCTTTAACTCCGTCACATTGCTATATATAGTCATTGAGGAACATAAATGAAACATAATGCAGGGACAAAATGTGCCAAATGATCATCTCACACACACACACGCAC